CCATCGCTATTAGGTTGGAAGCCATTGCTATTAGGTTGGAAGCCATTGCTATTGGGTTGGAAGCCATCGCTATTAGGTTGGATTTGTCATAACATATGGTCTCTCCTAGTCAGATCTTGTTGGAACTGTTCGGGACCGTATGGATGACGTGAGACTGAGGCAACTCCGTACCTACGGGCCCGTGAGTGAGGAGCTTTTAAGGAGCGGGGGAGGTGAGACAAATCACTACAGTAGAAGAGCACTGAAGTGGAGAGTTGTGGTTTGTACTGTTGGAAGGTGCAGCTGTTTGAAGTGGTAATTTGTCTTGTCAGTCTTGTCCCGAGTTTCTTTTTTTTCCTAAGCATGCCTGGAACCTGTTTCGAGAAGTAATTTGTCCTTTAGAAGTTGGATACGATGTAATATATGAGCAAGCGTGGTTTCAACAGATCATAATCCAAAACCAAACGACCACACCGTGCATGCAGGGCAAATGGGTCACGTTCACTGCGCGAATGCATGTGATGTCACCCCTTGTGTGATGGTGATGCCTGGCGATCTCACAGGAAGTATAGCCAGCAGCTGATCAGCGGCCTCGTGTACTTGCACTCTCGGAGCCCCCCTGTGGTGCACCGGGATTTGAAGTGTGCCGGCCTTGGGTTAACGTCACGCACAATAACCACCACCACCACCTGCAAACCTTTTCAGACAGCACGCTGGCAAACCGCACAACCAATTTGTTTGTTTAAATAGACATCGGATATCATCAGATCTATTTCTGCAGCAACATTCAAAGAGAAAACAATTGAGGCTTCCGTTGAGATTCAAGATTCGTTTTCCTCTCCTGGCTCCACATCTGATGTTGTAAAGAAACCTGATGGAGAACTTTCCATTTTCTCCTCTAGAATTTCTGGGTGGGAAAGCGGCCGAGCCAGCTGCTAGCCAGCACGGGCAGTTTCAATTTCTCTCATTAGACTACGCTTTTCTGTGGGTATGTTTATTCTCATATGGCACAAGTATCGGCAAAAGATGGCCTATCCATCGCTTTCAATTTGTGTATCCTTTCAGAAACGACTGACTGACTCATGTCTCGGTCAACTTGGAGCAGCTTGGATGGTCGTGGTGTCCCTTGTGATGGAGTGCCGATTCCAAAAAACTCCGGCTTTGACGATTGGGTTGAATCAACTTCAGGCACTGGTTTCCTACGAACTAGTGGGACATAGTGGGACCATGTCTGGATGCTGCGATGGGAGTTTCTTTGATGCCCTACTGAACACCTGTGAGTCTTTCAATCAGAAACTGACAGAGATTTTGTAAGAAAGGTTTACTTGATGGCTTGCTTGGGATGCAGAGCGATGTGACAACCTGAACCTGACCAGTTGGGTTTTGACATGTTTTGGACTCCAGGGCAAGCCATTCTTGAACACTGTTGGGGGATTGAGCCATTAGAAGATATTATACAGAAGCATTAGACCTGAACCGTGCCTTAAATGGTTAATGGTGGGTCAGTCTAAACAATTGGTGCCAGATGTTGTCCACTCATGGATGGCTCCCGCCTTTCACTGGTTCCATGAATGAGGTGCGAACGTTTTGCTGACACACAGCGGAGATGCGCCTTGGAAGGATGCAATTCGGGCCAACCACACGGTGGACATGATTTTTTTCCATTCATAAAAGTACCGCATTTAGCTAACCCGGCAAGATCATCCTTCATGAAACAAGTTAATTCTGTGCTGTGAATATTCCAGAGCGAGCGTTTTGGACAACGGGCAGTTTCTGCAAAGCCACTGAACCAAGAAAAGGAATACTTGATTTTTTAAAACCTGATGCCCTGAGTGCCGCACGCGAAACTCAGCACGAACGAAGTGAGACGAAAGAAGAGCAAATTAAGCAGCGAAAGCCGGAATTGATCCCAAACAAGAAAAAGGAAGACGCACAAGTTTACAGGAACCGCCCGGGCCCTTGGAAGAGCGAGTAGCCAGTCACACAACTGAATGGAAGCATCAATGCACAACTAAGTGACTCTGTGAGATGAGAGAGGCTTGAAAACACTGACGAAGCCAGCAAGCTTGTCAAAATGCACCTCCCGAAGGTTGACGCATAACAAGGTAAAGAAGTAAATTGGCTTCTTTACCAAACCTTCGGAACCTGACTTTGAACTGGTTAAGGTGAAGACTTGAAGAGTCTTCAATTCGGAACATTCCACTCTGGTAAGCCGGGGTTGGACCCAACAAGATCATTCGAACACAAGAAATTAGAGGGAATCGCTGTGAACTCGGCCCTTCGGGAACGAACTCAATTGCCACATCCTGAAGATATTTTAAGAGATGAGATGTGGCTACTGATGTTGATTCACTTAACCTGTAGTTCCACAAGCACGCGGGTTCGTCACCTTGGGTGGGGAAAGTGCAATAGATTGCTACTGTAGTTTTGCAGTTTGGAAGGCAATTCGCTTCCGTTGAGAATTCTTTTGCCGGGAGTATTCTTTTTGCGGGAGGTTATGCTTGCTGCTTCCAGACAATTTGGGTCAGCAGAAACATGGCTTCCTGAAAGGCCCAAGCAAAGCTCCTGGGCTCCTAGACTGAAGGAGTTTCCCTTTCCAATCCTTTGTATTTATATATATATAGTTATAGTTATTATTATCATTTCAGCGATCTAGAACTGATTCGAACCCAGAAACTATTATGAGACATCCGAAGGTGGCATGCCAGTAATTTGTGCAGACATCTCCACATCCCGCAAAACATCCATCGTGTCCTCTCCAGGTAAGACTCCAACCAACCAGCGTCCCGCCCAAAATATGAGGATGCACAGTACAAGTATGTACAAACCTGTCCAAACCTCATCGAACCTCTCCCATCCCCCCATCCATTCTTTTTGCTCACGTACGACTTCGTTTTGTCAACGCCAGTCTAGTCACCAGGTAAAGATTGCGGACTTCGGCTGTTCCAAATGGGTTCAGCCTGGGGAGTCCATGTTGGAGGCACATCCGGGTGAGAGACGAGGGTTAAATGTAATGAAAAGTAGTAGCTTTATTGTTACTAGTAGTAAGGCCAGGAAACCCTAGTAGCATCCTTGCTCCTAGTAGCGATGCCCTTTTCCTCCTATAGTAGCTTCTTGCTCCTAGCAGTCTTTTTTGTTTCAGCTTTTGGCGCTCTGTCCGTTTTGGAGCAAAAGTAGCATTTTGCCGCCCCATCTATTTGTCCCCATGGATTAAAAAAACGTGCAGGGCATCCATGTTGTTTGTCGATGGTGACTTTGTAAAAAAAACATACACGGTGAACCCAGCGATGAATCGTATGTCGGCAATCTATGAGTTTGTCAGCCCAAGTAGCGAGCTTCAACTCCCAAGAGATCCCAAAAGCAGTGTTTGCCGGCGCAAAAGCGGCTCAGCTCGCGTGTACTTGCGCGCCTTGCGTGCGACGCGCAGAACTCTGTAGCTGGCTCAATCTTTTGGATGGCTCGGGAGACCCAGAGAAGTTGATGGATGGGGGGGAGTGAAGCTGTTTGGCTGTTTAGGGTTGGATCGGTTTCAAGAGGAATGGAGGATCGCTCCATATCGATATGCTGGTTCTTGAGCACATTCCAGCTGAACCTTTGTAACTCTGAGCTTTTTCTTTGACTCTACCTTCAACATCCTTCAACAATCAAATTAAGCAAGAAATAATGAACTTTTAGGTTGGAGGCCATGGCTACTAGGGTGGAGGCCATCGCTATTAGGTTGGAGGGCATCGCTAGTAAGGTTGGAGGCTAAATTAAACAAGAAACTATTATAGGAACTATAGGTGCCAGAGTCAGAACCTGTTTTCACGGTTTTAAGGGTTTGGGCTTTGGAGAAGGAATACAGTTCTATACAGATGAATACACATAGGTTGAATTTGAAGTGTTCCCCTTCTCGAGACAAGCCCAGATCAAACAACAATTTTGAAAGGGAGTCTATCCAGCTGTTGGGCAGATCTTTGATATGTACAGCAACAGGAAAAGGTGTTGAGCGAGCCAACAACCATCCAGGTGTTGTGCATCCAGTGTTTTGATCCATTTTTGTTGGAGGTCTTCGCAGGTTCTGGCCATTTCAACCCTCATTGTTCTTTGGGTCCAGTCCTCCAGTTCACTGAGGCGCCGGAGCTCTTTCGAGGTCGGGGGAAACTGACCACATCGTCCGATGTGCCTCGGCTTGGGCTGCTGTGCTTGGCCGGATCCGATGCCAGTGGCTGGGTTGGCGTGGCGGGATGGGTGTAAGCCGCAGCTTCACTTACGAGCGAACAAGAGTTTGGCATGATCTCATACTATGGAGATGGACAAACAAGCCGTCCCCAAACAACCACCGGAGTTTCTTTCTGTGCCTGATGCATCCGTTGCTCATGACAGACCAATAATTATATATATATATAAGTTGAATATTAACTATTCTCATTTCTTTAAAGGTTGATTGGTGTCTTTCGATCAGCTCCCTTGCAGCTCCCACATCCAAACACGTCGCACCGACGTCCCGAGATTTGGTCCTTGGGCTGCTGTGTCCTGGAAATGGCCACTGGCTCGGCTCCGTGGGCTGAACGGTGCTTCGACAACATCCTGCAGGCGTTTTCACGAACACAAAGTTCATGCGCTTCTGTTTTGAGTCTGATGTGTTACAGTGACAGTATTCTTCAGTATTTTTGTTGCTTTCGTTGTGTCGGGGACCACCACAAGTATTTGATCCTGCAGCATGCTTCCCCTTCCTTGTCCTATCTTGCCCTGGATCCTTCATCCGCCTCATCCCAACCGCAGTTCACCCAAACATGGCATCCAACCGGCGAACGGTGCGGCGAGCGTGTGCGGTGTGTCCACATCGTCATGACGGGCGCCGCCGGTGGGAGGCGTGTCACGTCATCGCCAACTCAGAGGAGTTGCCCACGATACCAGCGGAGCTCTCCCAACAGGTCGGAGTGAAGGGTCACTTCACGTCGCACAGCGGCTCGCTGTGGCGGAGTCAAACGGTTTGGTGGCCACAGCGGTATAATGCCTTCACTTTGACTTGAGGATTCACGTTTTTCATCGTGTTTCACTTATATCGTCAACATAGTAGTCAACATGATTCAAAATTGGTAGGCTTAGTAGTGTCTCCTCCACCTGGTCCTGGCAGGCTTCGGACCTCATCAAGATGTGCCTCAGGCGGAACCCGCTGGACCGGCGCGGAAACCCGCCTGGGCCACCGGAGGGCAGCTTGTGATGTTGTTTGGCTTTAGTGTACTGAACTGGGTTTGTAATGGTTTGTATTCATTTTGAGGTGTCCAGGTTCTGTAATTAGAGGTGGGATGTCTGACCCAGGCGGTTCCTATCCCCCAAAGCACACCACCGAAGCATAGTTAATTCTCAAACGCATACACGCCGGATACAAACAAGCTGTTGCACAAGTGCGACCCACAAAAGGGATCACAATTTAGGAACCAGGCAGATACTGTTGAGAATCTGTTCTGTTGCTTTTTTGTTTTTCTGATGATATACGTGTTGCTTAGGATTGGCCACGTTTATTGTATTGAGATAGTAGAACTGGCATGCTGTTCCTGCGGGTAGGTTGCCGGCCAACATCCGCGATGTTCAGCAGGCCGATTCAATCACGAACCGAAGTTACAAGAAATCAGATAGCTCGTGACCTGCTGCATTCAAACATACTCGTAACAGACTAGTACCTAGTACCTGCCTGTATTGAATCTTTGCCCAAGAATGCCGAAACCTGGCTACAGCTGGCCCAACACTATGGATGTGTCCAAAATGGAGTGCACTCATGGACCTCCAGAAATTCCTGTGATTAAACAATTTAGCCCACTTGGTGGGAGGATCCCCACGATGACCACACCCAAAAATCTAGGGCCAGGTCCTGCCTCCCTTTCACCGGCCTAGGCCCACAGCACAGGAGCTCAACAAACTAAAGTTGTACACCTGAGCTGTGCAGAGAACAGCCTGCATGTGGTTGATATACAGTGGGTAGATAAACCAGAATTTAAGTCAAGTTGTTACGGGATGATCACAAGAGAACATAGAATCCTCAGGTTTGACGGAATTATGGAGCATGCCAGAAGCAACAGGAAAGACTGCCAGAGGGATGAGATTGAGCAATGTTTTTAAAGATTTGGTGGAACTGTGCATGTCCCATGTACTTGCTGACGAGAATTAAATGTGACGATGAGATTGGAATGGCTACATACCCCCAAAGAGCAGAGAGGAGTTAAAGCCACATCGAACCCGCTTGCATTCTGCGGAGAGTTCTGAGAAGGCGTAGCAGCACAACTAGACGCCGCAGCGAAGCTGCTAGGGACACATGAGGCTTGGAGGAAGATGCGTGACTGGTAAGAAGATAGAGGACTCTTCTATACTTGTAAGGATAGTGAAATCCGTAGTTTAGCCACCGACACACCTGTTTGCTGTCACGGGAAGACATTGCCCCAGACATCAACCACATGCAGGACAGCCATTTGCCAGCCTTTGGAGGCCTTTGTAAAGACATACCTTGCCCTTCTAAAGGAATCCATCCATCCAACCGTGGAAGCAAGCTGCAAAGCAACCAATGACAAAACCATTTCAACCTCGGTTCTATTGAATGGGAACCCCATGAAGTGCATTGGAACTATCATCATCCAACGATTTCACTTCAAACACTGCATGAATGAGGCTTTCAGGAGCACAGTGCAGACCCTTTGCTGAGTCTTGATCGGCAGAGGAGCTTTTCGCCTTACACCATCCCCACATATTGACATCCCGGGCCTGGCACGGGACGATGTTGAGACCATCCAAGCAATGGCTGCTGGAATTCACCATACTGTCCAACAGTTTTACCCCTTTGTTTAGGAAATGGCGCACTGCTTAACTATCTAGATGAACCATTGAGTTGTCAAATTCACTACTTGTGATCGGTTGAGCAACATACACGCAAACAATGGATGCTGTCAAAGGTTTTGTTTGACATGATGCCCTCACCAAGCGTCTATCAGTTTCCAAGTCTACTAAAACTTGAAGTATACATCAAGCATCAGATCCATCAGATCAATCATCTATCTATTGCTTGCTGGTTTCTCTAACATGCTGGAAAGCTGGGGGATGTCAATTGCGCCCGCCCGGGGCGGGTTTCGCCCCCACGAGATAACGAGACGGGCGGCGCTTTTTCTGTCTCACGAAACTCCATGCACTCGCAGAAGATAATTACTCAGTCTGGCAGAGGTGCATTCTGCCGAGTGCGCGCAACTCTGGAGCCAGGAGTTGCAAGGGTGCTCACCCAAGCTGGATCATAGAGGAACACCTACCAATGGATTCATGGATCATAGAGGAACACCCACCAATGGATTCATGCATGTTTTGCTGGATTCATATTTAATGATTATGCGGCATGCGACTCGCCATATATAGCCATAAATGTAGCTCCATTCACATGGGCCGGCAAGAGAGGGAATCAAGCCTGGCTCCGGGCATGGACTTGGCCGGGGGGGCAAACCCTACACGAATCAACCAGGTCAAGCGGCCTGGCGACGCCTAAGCGCGTGCCGGCATGCGAGCCGACCTCCGGGTTGGAGGGTCATGGGGCAGAGTCATGAAACTGTCAGAATATGTTTGAGAGATACAGCAGAGCAAAGATGAGCAAAGGGCCTCTGAGATTTGTTGGAATGTTTGGAATTCTCCAGGTTCATAGATTTCTCGATTGAAGGCTCCAGTTCAGCATTTGAAACACCAGGTGTTCCACCAGAACGAACACCTGGTCGCACCAATCCCGAACATCGACAGACCCAAGAGGCTCGGCCCATGACGGGAGGCTCGGCCCGTGGGGACGACGAGAACGCCTTGCGCGTCGAACGACGAGAGCGCGCAAGGAGCAGAGCCATCCGAGGGGAAGGGAGCTGTTGCGCGCGAAGGAAAAGGACGGGACCGGTGGGAGTACCGGTGGGTAGACCGGTGGGTAGACCGGTGCGAGATTGAAGGCGGTTGGGGGCGATGTTGGGGGTGTGTTCAATTGATTGGAGAGGAGTTATAGTAGTGTTTTATTGCAGCACATTGTCAGACTATTTTGCTTTGTAGTTTAGTAGGACTTTTTAGATCTTTCACAACTCTTTTAGTGGACATGATTTGGGTTCGAACAGCTTTGCATGTTTGGCCAACAAGAGCCTGTACTTCTTCTTGGTACTTGTACTTGCACTGTGGGACGCAGCATGTCGCCGCGCCGAACCCCTTCTTCCTCCTTGAGCTGTACAGGCTAAATACAGTAACGAGGAAACCCAGCCTAAAGTCAAAAGCTGATGACAGATCTTCTCTAGATATACGCAAAAAAAGTGCAGAGCTCCTTTTGTTTGCTTTCGGTTCCTGAAACCGTTGTAGACAACACCAGAAGCCACCCCAGCCAACCCCTCCACCAACCCCTCCAACCCGACTAGCTGATCCCCCGCGGCCGTGGTTGTTAGCCATGCGAGCCGCGACGCGATGATGATGGAGGCGGTGTCCGTTCTTTACGGATAATTACGAAGGAAGGAAGGAAGGAAGGAAGCAGCCAATGTTTCGGTATATTCAGAAGATTCGTTGTTTTTTCTTTGTGAAACCCGGTAGATCAATGGACAAGGAATGATGTGTTTCCCAATTTGCTCCGATCTTTGTACATACTGTTTCCGTCATTTTTGGGCATCTTGACGGGACACCAAGAGTGAGTACGATGGTAAGCGTGCTCCCTGATCCGGTAGTCATGTATCACAGACTGTATCACACTTATCCTGCCAGCCACCGCCACTCGGAAAGCTGGGCATTCGGCAGAAATGCACAGAACACAACTTGCATGATCTTGCACAAAAACTTCTGTGCATGTTGTGTTCTTTTGATGAGTACTTGTGTACTTGTGTACTCATGTTCTGGATGTTTTGTGATGTTTTGTTCTCCATCCAAAGGCTCGTTTTCTGGATCCAAAGGCTTGAAGCCAGCTCCAGCGAGGCCGCGCTGGTGTAGGGTATGGCAAGGTGGTTCACAAAGGGAAGACACGAAGAATCCAGATACGAGGTAGGTTCTACATCTGCGGGATGCATCACACTCAAGATATCCCAGAGTATGAGTTTGAGATACCAGACATGACACCTGGTACACTGACTCATAGAACAAATTTGGCTCCCGGGACTCCCGGGGACTCAAGGCTGGAAACCCTCATAGAATCGACACACACAAACTCACGGACACTTGTTAGTTAGTCAAGCATTGGTACTCTCGAAATCCTTCTTGAAAATGCCAACACAACTGTCCAGGATATCATGTGGTAGAACATCAGGGTCAATTCTTGACCTTCAGGAGTTGCAGACAGTAGAATGAGATAGAATGAGTAGAGATGTTGCACAGCAGAAGTCGGATTGCGGGGCTTCATCAACTGAGCCTATATTTGTGGACATGTTGCTGAGATGTCGCCGGTATTTCTATGTGTTTCTAGGAGTTGTTTAATGAGGCCGCCCTGCTGTTTCTGTCCTCACTTTGAGGATCGGGCTGCAATGGCGGATTGGAACTCAGATGCGGTTTCATTCGATGAGGTGCAGCATGGTGCAGCGGTCCAAGAGATGGTCGTTTCAATATATCAAGGGGAAGGAGCCACAAGCTCGTTTCTGGGTTCTCACTTTGTGATAGACCTGAGCAGGCTTGCTGACAGATGCTGGCAACATGTGAACCTGCAGACTAGGTGAGATCCCATTGGAGTAACAAGGGCATTAAATATACTAAGAGCAAGGACACTACTTACTATAGTAACAAGAGGACGCTACTAGGAACAAAGAGCATCGCTATGAACGGAGCAAAGGGCATCGCTACGACTGGAGTAGTGCGACGACTCTAGCCGTTCAATTTTGATGAGAAACAAATGCAGTGTTTCCCACTCTCCTGAGGGTGTTGTTTGATCCATTGAAATGGCCCAATGGCTGTCGCTAAATAAAAGTGAGTGAATGATAAACCCATGGGCCAAAGGAAAAAGGAACAACCATCATTGCTTGAACCCCTTGATGTCCTAGTTTAAGCCGTGCCATCCTCATCATGAGGATGATGACTTGGAAAAGCAGGCACAGGAGCGGACTCTTTGGGGTCATGACCATGTGATTTTTGTGGCAACGAAGAAGATTTCAGCTGCTTTCACCTCCGAAACTCGACCAGGAACATGTTCCATAGCCTCAAAGATGTTCTGAAGAATCTGTGGGGGCGTGATGTGAATCTGTCAAGGGTTTGGGGATGTGAATTACAATTAATTACAATTCTAATTATAGTTAATTGTTACTACTAGTAAGGCACTTGTTCCTAGTAGCTTCTTGTTACTACTAGTAAGGCCCTTGCTCCTAGTAGCGAGGCACTTGTTCCTAGTAGCGAACATTGTTACTAAGGGTTTGGGGATGTGAAGGGGTTTTGGAGTGTCTTCAACGATCTGTTGACAGGTGGGATTCCTTAAGGCTTTGCCCCTGTTTGCCCTTAGCCTTAGACTTGGCGTTCATGGCATGCTTCTTTGTAGTCGCCGGTTGCAGGTCAGATGAGGCTCATATATATTATATAGGTTGCTTTATGAAAGCCCCAGAGCTTGTGGTTTGTCATGTGTTGCAGCTCTTGTTCGAGGTGCCTTTTGAAGTCATTTGGCAGTCTCAAACAAGTCCTGTTCAAAGCAACTTGTAGTGTACACAGTACACTTGGCAGGGTTGGTGAATCTGCCTGTGCACTTCAGGTGCTGGGGTGATTGACCTAGTGTGTGCGCGCGCAAGAATCATCAAGAATCTACTTCACTTGCGGAGATCGCCTTCATTTCCTGCAAGGGGTTTCCACAAAAGCTGTGCCGGCTCCACACTCATTGCCACACTGTCTTCCCTAGCTTGGACGAGTGCTTTGTTTCAAGATGATGGCCTTCTTTCTTCCGGGTTTCTTGTGGCAACCAAGTCTTGAGAGCGCCAGTCGCAGACGTAGACGATGTGCAAGCACAAAAGCAGAACACAGCGCAGAGGAAGACACACGCACAAGTTCAGACGACATGAACACCAGTCGAAAAACTAGAAGGTTTGCTTGCTGTGCAACGGTATCCCAATCAAATAGTCCAAGACCGTTCATTTCAACTTAATTAAGGATGGTTCAACAAACCAATCCAAGTTCGTTTGGATGGTCCTCGGACTGATCCAAGGTAAAGGAGCAGCTTGCACAACAACAACAACAACAAAGGACTGTGGAAGTGCAGAAAGAGGCAAACCGCAACATCAATACAAAAAGAAACACATAAACAGCGCGGGAGTTTTCACACCTTGGGGTTTGGGGGTTGGTCGGCAACACACAGCCCCGAAGGTCCCCTCGCCCCATGCATACCTCCAGCTAACCCCCAGTTCCCACAACAGCCTTGGATTCCCCCGCAGGAAATGGCCGAGAAGGCCTTGCCAGCCAGTTGGAAGCTGAGCCTCCATGTGCGTATTGATGTGTGGCAGACAAGTTCAGTGCTTGAGAGAGAGAGAGGGATGCGAGAAAAAGATGAAGGGAACAGGTGCTGCTGTTTGACTTGACCCATGTATTTTTTGTATGATCACTGCTCACCACATCTTTTGGAGGCCAGGATTACGTGGATATTTGAAGAAACCGATCTTTAGATTTGAGAAAGACTGACAGCATCTGGCTCTTCAAGCTGTTAGTTAGTTGAAGATGATGCTGGGGGGGCGCCAATGCAAACCTGTCCGTGGAGCAGAAACTGAAAGATCTCCTTGGCGTTGATGCCATGACGCCGCCTCGGGCAGTGAAGGTGGATGTGGATCCAACTGCAGAGTGCCTGGTTTGCTCCGGGGAGGTCTCGCAGGAGATTGCTGTGCCAGAGGAAGTGTTTCAGGCCTTGGACGAGCTGCTGGAGGACTCCACCCCGTGCTTGGTGCTGCTCTCACTGGAGGGCATTCACGAGACCACGGCGGCCAACTGGGCGATGATCGCCTGGACTCCGGACATCTCGCCAGTGAAGTTGCGGATGCTGTGCGCCTCTTCCAGAAGGACCTTGAGAGAGGAGTTTCCGCATTTGCGCTTCAAGGAGTATAATTGCAGTGAGAGAAAGGAGGTCACGTGGCAGCAATACTTGGAGAGCACCCGCACTCGCACCGAGCAAGATCGCTTTGCGGCCATGACACAGGATGAGATTGACCAGCTGGAGGTACGGAAGCAGGTGGCGAAAGAACAAGCCATGGCCCCAAAGAAGCTGGCGGGCCTGGCGGCGCTGCAGGTGAAGGTCAACGCGAGCTTCGAAGAAGCCATGAAGAGTTTCCTGGAGAAGCCCGAGCAGTCGGCGGTGGTCGCCAAGCTGGACTCAGAGGAGCTTCATGGTGAGCTTCTGGAGGAGACCAGTGCCGTGACGGCGCTGCGGGGGCGGCTGCCAGCAGAGCCTGCCTTTGTGATTCTGCCAGCCCTAGGTCAGCAACTCCTTTTCATCACTTGGCTGCCTGAAGGCGCTGGGGTGAGGCAGAAAATGAAGATCTCGACCTTCAAGGCCTCGGTGTTAGAGCAAGTGAAAGAACTCGCGGAGAAGGAGGTGGTCTTGGCAGAAGCCACGGACGATGATGACTTGGATGATAGCCTGGCTGCCTCCCAGAAGGCTGCTGTCTCGGCGACCTCGCCCGAAGCGGCGGAACCACGATCCGCGCCGCTGGAAGCACCTGCAGGGCCAAAGCCGCCCGCAGGAGCCGTGGCCTTGCCGGGCTTGTCACCGCCCCGAGCTGCACAGGTGGGTGAAGGCTATGCTAGCCCGAAGGAACCAAAGGAGGCGCCCAAGGAAGCACCCAAGGAGGCATTGTTCCAGGAGAAGGAGACCGCGGCCAAGACCACGGCTTTTGCTGCGGGCACGGCAGGCACAGCGTCCGACATCACAGAGATCCTAAGCCTAGCTGAACTGCAAGATGCTTCTGTGTGGAAAGCTCGCAATGTGATTGCCACTGAGCGGGAGCGCTACCTGCCTGAGGACGTCTTCCTGTCGCTGTTCGGGATGGACAAGGCCGCCTTTGCAAAGTTGCCGAAGTGGAAGAGGGACAACAAGAAGAAGGAGCACGGCCTTTTCTAAGTTGATTTGCGTTCGAAAATGCTGGACAGCTTTGGGCTGATGTGCCTCCGAAAGCGTATTTGGGTTAAGACAACGTCGTGTTTCCAACCTTAGTATCATTGCAGAAACATGCTCTGGATTTTGATTCCCTTCACAAGCTGTGGATGTGAGCCCCTTCTGACTTCTGAACATTAAATATCGCCAGCTATTTATTTGCTTGTTGTTCATGGTAAAATCGGTTCATGCAGTCCCAGGGAGCACCCTAAAACCTTTCACTCCACATGATTCACACAAAAGCACACTCCGCTCACCGGTAGTGAGGCCTTCCGGAAGCTGCACGGCGGGCGAAGATTCCAACGATCAAGCAGAAGATCTTGGAACGCCTCAAGGCTAGTAGCTTTGAAGTTGCTTCCACGCATCTCCACAGATTCTAATTGTGTTGTTTGCTTTGTTTAAATAGATAACATTGAACATTATTTTCTTGGTGTCATGCCATGCTTAGTGGTTTCTTGGCGCTCAACTATTACAGTGAATACATTTGAGTACCCTTGGAAAAAAAAGACGTGGAAGAAGCATGATGCTAGACAGGTTCACACAATCACTCTTGTGGGAGTGATGATTGCAACAAAAACCATTCATAGAATATGCTGTGAGGATCTCGAGACTGGGCTCTCAAACTATAAGAAATGCAATTCAGCTGTTTGGATTCCTCACACCAACCCCTAGCCGGCGGCATCTCTTCAGGCCAAACCCTCAACCGAACGACTTGGCACTTGCCGGCGCTCCAGGCACAGAAAGTGGAGAATGCCTCAAAGCCGGCGCCCAAACCAGGCTCGGCACCTTTCACTATGCAGAGGCTGATCAAGCACGTGTTCGGAACCGGACCCCGCGCAAGTTCAACGGGGTTCTGCTAGGATCAATGGAGCGGTGGCTTGGATCAGCGGTGTGATTCAGCTGCTGCTTTTGAACCCCAGAATCCATTGGCACATATTGGCACATCGAAGTCTTGAGCTGACCACCACGTTCGTTTCTAGCAATTGCAGCTATACACATATATTTATTTAATTCGATGTGGGTCAGGGGCAGGGGTGCCGATGCCGCAGGTGCTGCTCCTCCACCGGCACAGGCAAGATGTGTTTGCCTCTTTGTGCACATCAAGACATCGTGGGTCATTCTAGGAAGAGGTGAGAACCATACAGGTCATTGGGTTTGGATCCATGTATATAGTAGGATCATGTACATATATATATATATATACAGATACATGTACATATATACGTCATTGGAATGTGGTTCTACAGTTTGGTGACCGGTGTTGTGGCTGTCCTCCAACTACAGGTGCAGGCTGATTACCATGATGTTAATAAGCACTGCTAACCAATGAAGCACAGTGAGCATTTGCCTCAACATGGAGTGCGCTGAACACTGTCCTTCGAGACCCAGGTTGTCACCCGCTTCCTGATAGGTTTTTCTATATGATCTATATGCTGTTGCATGCTTTCATCCCAGTCAACAACGACGACAATAGCTTAAGTTCTGGTGATGATGTGTTTGATGCCTCTATCTCTAAAAGAACTCGGTGACCACTGTTTCAACGTTCACTGAGATTGTAGAAAACAATGTTAGAACCTTTCCGTAAGACACCAATCTCTTTTTTTGTTTGTTTTTGTTTGTTTGTGTTTTTTTTGTGTGTCTCTTTTTTCTCTTGGCACTACATCGCCAAGCCTTCTGAAGATCTCTAAAACCATCAAACAGGTATGACAGTTCCCCGTTCTTGACGGGTTGTTTTGCTTCTGAACTTTTTGTCTCAGGTTTCGTGTCATTACATTGTCATTATGTCAATTTGGTATGCCCATTGGTCCATTAGCTAAATGCAGTGGAGAAGGAGCGTGATCCCCTGCCTGTAACTTCTGATCAGTTTGTTGTGTTGTTTCTTCATAAAGTTTTCCATGCCGTGTTATGGATGCAATGGGTGTGTTTTTCTTTTGGCTTGTTTGAGGGTGGACAGAACCAATGCCCTTTTCCAAATTCTGGGAAGCGTTGTGCATGTCCAATTCGTTTGATGTATATCATTGACCTAATGGAAAGGTGCAAGACACGACATGGTGTGCATCACCACACACCCACACTCACACACCCACCTAATCAATAGACTATTATACATTCATTATGTTTTCCCCTCTTTTCAAAGTCCTTTGACATCTCAAACAAGAAACCAAACGCGCCTAAACAAATCCTAACCTCATCAAAAGCAACCTTAAGAACAAAAATACACTCCCCCTCATGTATGGCATCAACAGCAACCTAGGGAACATATGAAGCACCTTGGTCTCCTTTTCCCCAGGCACAAAGCGGGCATATCCCGCCGCCGGCCGGGCAACCGCCCGCCCCTCCGCCGCCGCCACCGCCGCCCTCCGATGTGGCTGGGGAGCCTAGAAGCTGTGTGCCAAAGAGATGCGAGGGGACAGACTAGAAGTAACAAGGGCATCGCTACTAGGAGCAAAGGGCATCGCTACTGAGAGCAAGGACGCTACTAGTGGAAGAAAAAACTTTGGAGCTTGGTGAGGGTGAGAACAGGAAGAATGGAGAAGACATCATTTGACATGACTCCGACTGACTCAGCAGCATGTAAGTAGTACCATGTAGTACCTGTAGGGTCTTTCCCATGCTGTACTGGTACGACTACACGGACCCTGGGCCCTATAGGCAGCATTGAATTCCCGAGCAACTGGGAAATGCTGCAATGGAGAAATCATTGGAACATCTAGATGAAGCTATTGTGCAGCACTACAGTATACTACAATGATCTTTTTTCTAAATCATCTCAGCATCGATCGTCCCAGGGCGACGCACGGGTCTTGCGCCTCGATGGTGTGGAGATCTGTGGCGATGAGCCATGGCCCGACGGCCCGATGCGGACGTCGGGACCGTCGGGACCAGTTCTTGCATGTGGCATGTGGCAAGGACGCTGAGGAGTGTACATGCCCGATTCTCATGCCGAAAGATGGTCATGTACCAGCAAAATCATGAAAAACAAACTAAAATAACAAAGAGCAAGTGGAACATGGTCGGACATGGTTGGTCCTATTTGGTGGTACGTGCCCGAGGTCATCTTCCACTGCTCGTCTTTTGGCGGTTTCTTTCTCACAGGGTATGGGTTCAGACATGATTTTGACCAGCGCCCATTATGGCTGTCAATCTGCGCCACAAGCTTCTGCTTCGATTTTGAGATTGAAGTTGACGATGTGCCTCACAGAATTTTCTGGCAGTTGAAGGAAGAGCATTTACAAAAGTCAAAATGCGTTCTTCTGGCTGTTTGATTGTGATTGAAAGTTTACCGTATTTCAACATATTTCTGTTGTTGTGGATAGCATCTACAGGATCGCACCTTTTTCGCGATCCAACCACA